TTTCATGGATTATCGACTGCATACGCAAGACCGTGGTCATTTGAGTATTACATACGTGAACAGAATTTGATGGATTATCGACTGCCTACGCAAGACCGTGTTCATTTGAGTATTACATACACGAAGAGAATTTGATGGATTATCGACTGCATACGAAAGACCGTGTTCATTTGAGTATTAAATACATAAACAGAATTTGATGGATTATCGACTGCATGCGCAAGACCGTGTTCATTTGAGTATTACACACATGAACAGAATTTGATGGATTATCGACGGCATACGCAAGACCGTGTTCATTTGAGTATTACCTACATAAACAGCATTTGATGGATTATCGACTGCATACGCAAGAACGTGTTCATTTGAGTATTACATACATAAACAGAATTTGATGGATTATCGACTGCATGCGCAAGACCGTGTTCATTTGAGTATTACATATATGAACAGAATTTGATGGATTATCGACTGAATACGCAAGACCGTGTTCATTTGGGTATTACATACAAGAGGCGGAGATTGATTGTGTTTCATTGACTGCATGCATCGTAATCAGTCATTATTTATTACATACATGAACAGAATTTGATGGAGTATCGACTGCATACGCAAGACCGTGTTCATTTTAGTATTACATACATGAACAGAATTTGATGGAGTATCGACTGCATACGCAAGACCGTGTTCATTTGGGTATTACATACAAGAGGCGGTGTTTGATTGTGTTTCATTGACTGCATGCATCGTAATCAGTCATTATTTTTTCGAATTATGTCGTCCCTGTTACAGCTACTGGCAAGAAAAATGCCTTTAAAAATAGCGACGCAATACCGTAATCACACGTCTGGAAATATTTTATCATGATCACACTCACTGCAATAGGTCAAAATCCCACGGGGAAATACAGACAGCTGTATTGGAGTTTATATGAGGAATAGTAATGCAATCATATTCAACAGACACGTATCCGGGAAATGAATATAGCTTTATGTTTATCGTGAACCTAACGTTAATATTTTGGTAGACAAACCTTTGTTTGTCTGTATATATGCGATCTAGTCGACTAAATCATAATCACAGCTTGGTATTATATAAATGTTTACCTATAACGTAGGTCGAAGAGGTAAAGTTTACAATCCTTATTTTGAAGAAGACTCGTCCATTAGCGGAGAATAGAAATATTATGGCCTTGGACAGCTATAATCCATCAATATGGAATTTTGAAGCGTGCCAAATGCAATAAAATTGCAAAATGTATCACACTTTCCGAATACTTTAAAATCATGCTCAATAATTCATATAATTCATAACGACCTCTTCCCCCTGCTACATGTAAAAGGACAGAATATGGGAAAAAAAGCCGCGGGAAAATGTCACATAGAGAGATTCTATCGAACTGAACCCGCGATTCAGCTCTTAACACCGCGTTAGATGTCACCTACAATCCTAGCTACACCTTCAAAGAACCCAACTGTTGTCGCATTTTACAATCGTTACCAATTCTGCAGGGGACACGCGACTGCTTAGAGACGGTGAAACGTAAACGTAACGGGATGATTTACAAACGTTGCTCATTGAATAACATATCAAAAAAAGGAAGATAAATTGATACTTAACAGGGTATAAAATCAATATGACAGAAATTATCAAAGCTATGATGAAGGGACATTCTTATGATCAGAAATTCAGGCTTTTTGTCGTTGTTGTGGTCATGGCATTATTTGTCTCTACAACTGGTCAATAAAAGCCACCTTACTAATGCTCGTTCTTAAAGGTTATCGAGCTCCACATTTCTTATCTCATTGTGATGAACATGCCAACTCTTTCCAGCAACTTTTTTAAAAACAATATCAAAACTAATATCAAACGATCTTGGAAATCTTCCTCCCTTTATAACTTTTTATTATTGTTGATGACGTTTCATATATTTCTCTAGCCATGCATTTCTCCAAAATTTATGCTTTTAAGAAGCCTTAGGAACGAAAATATTCAAGGTATTCATATAAAATTCGATTATATCTTTTCACAGTATCTAAGTCATGGAGCTAAATAAACTAGAATAGAGTGCAGGGACACACGGTCTAAACAGGTAGGCTGTATATAATAAAACGGACAAACACAATAAAAGGCAATTAAGTGATGAGAGATCATATGACTTCTAATATACTGACGTCGTACGGTGGTATGGGTTATATAGGCAAATCGACCGGTCATCAACGAAACCTACTGGAAGCATGATTAAAGTCAGAAAAAGTTCAACATACCGTTGATATCGACCACCAAGCATTATTCACATCAACTTATCAAAACAGTATCATATAATCTGTACAGGAGAACAATTTGATTGCCCTGGATGAAGGAGGAATTAATTAAATGTGTGTATCGGATGTTGTCATAATAGGGATGGCGTCATATGGTACATATCTCCGGTTTGCTTGCGCATACGGAAAACAAATTACCTGGAACCCAATTTCCGTTAAACGTTAATAGGTGTACCTAAAGGAAGTAATTTATTGATGACGTTCTTGGTATGAACTCTTAGTCAATTTCAACATTTTGTTTCGATACAAAAATCAGTACGATACTTTAGGAGATTTTGACGTCACGAAAATTTGGCGTTTTTGTGCAATTAAATTTCGATGCGTCAAAATTTGACGTTTGACGATTTTGAGTGCTAAATGTTGGTGTTGCATGATTAAAGAAGTCAATTAGTCCATTACGTTACAAAAGCTGCTCATACAAATGTTTGTTCCGTGATCTTTAACCTTTGTTTAAAAACGTGTTCATACAACCTTTGGTATTACGATTTACCTAGCTGCATAGGATAACATTTGTCTGTATAGCCACTCACCGCTATATTCTTACTGTGTAGCGATGTGACTTACATGTATACACTTAAACACGACATATACAAAAACGGTTATGAAAACACTGAAAACATAGCATCTTTGACGTGTTATTTATAAAGTGTGTTAATCCTGCTCTCAAATTAGCAATATAGCCAGTGGAATATAGCAACTAGTGAGTAATAAATGAGTTGCAAGACGGACTGAAGATGTCCGGATGTTACGACAATGTGTTTTGGTATAGTGACATTTTGGTGTGTTTTCTTTTGGCTCATTCAGGACCATTTCCAATATATCCCCATGCACGGTATTTTCGTAACAAGCATTCACATTTACCGTTGATTTCTCAATTTATGAAAATGCAATACAGTAAACGCTATCGTCTGACTTGACATGAATACTTGGTCAAGCAGGATATGAAATGCTTCACACGCTTACAGAACAGGTGAAAATGTATTGTTAATTAGCGCCGTTGTATATATTATAAATTATAATGTCGATCTCTCGACCTACCTTTATCTCAGTACAGACGCACTGATTGAGATTCACCATTTTTATTACCACATGTTCTACAGCTTTCTTTGGTGAAGCAAAATCAGGCACCAACACTTTATAATTATCAGATGTTCCAGTTATTTAAATCAACCCCTTTGATTTAATTCGGTTGATTGGTTTACCGTCATATTAACACCCTAAGTCGTTTAAGGCTGTTCTTCTGCGTGTAAATTGTATTCATGTTGGCTTGATAATAATATTTATATAATTTGTTGCCTCCTTGCGAAAACACGGATCTATTGCCGACTTTAGAGTGTTACTTCAATGAAATTCCTTACCTAAGTCACCCAGGTCAGTACTCCATCCGGTCACTTATACTTAGAATAGGGATAACCAGCCGTTGCGCTTACCCTAAACGCTGAACGTTTTGTGTGGAATACCAACTACCTGTATCACTTTTAAAGGTCTTCATTATTTGAAACCATAATTGTTAAGTAAGGTTTGCCAACAAATACTCCAAACCGGCTTTAAATTCATTACAATGTTTATAAAACCGTATCTCGTTGTCCTAATGTCAAACATTCAGACATGGATGATTCAACAGACGCGTTATAACACCACGTTATATCTTTCATTTACCCTATGAAGCCCTATTATTTTCTGCAGAAACAGACACAGCTTGTCTATATCCAGACAAAATCTGGAACACAGTTGTTTTCTATAACTCCTTTTCACAAAAAAGAAAAATGGAAAATGATATGCCACAATGTCGATACACGAGAACAGATGGAAAATCAAAGTTGATTCAAATGTGCCATATCGTCAGTAGACAGTGGAAAATTTTCATTTAAAAGTCGATACATTCAAAGGGATTAAGGAGGTTTAAAGCGGAACGAAAGACATTATGCCACTCCAACTAAACTTCGGAGGCGAAGCCAGAGTATTTTCTGCAATGCACTTTTTCCTTTCAAGACGTTTCTAGTCAAAATATCTACATTTATGTCACCATAAAAATCACACAGGACAAGTCTTAAATCACGACAAGATGGTAATCTCATGAACACGTACAACTTATGATCGGATGATTATTATGACAGTTAACATCATGTACAAAGTACATAATAAGATTGAAGAGGTAGTTTGGTGGCAAAAATAACTTCAATTAAAAATACTAATATTTTATGTACCGCCCTAAAGAAAGAGTGGCTGAAATGTTACTTCTGAGGAAAGAACTTTATTGATCGTGGTATGTAACTACATCTGTCGTAAGGTTTTGACAGGGGACGATCATTAGCGTCGTTATTTACGATTGGTTTATGTGTTTGATATTTTTATGTATTTTTTCCGATACTATCTTATGCCAACACGGGAGTGCGTGGTACATTTAAGATGAGGGGAGACTTGGATCAAAAGTTAACATTATTTCACCATACCTCCTATCAAGTGAAAATTAGAGAATCGCCAGAAATGTCTGATACATGATATGTGTTTTCCTAGTATAATAATAAAGGATCCCTTATCAGTGGTAATTCAAACGCCAGTCTGTACACAATTATGGAATCTCGTTACTTTAAACATTTTATAAACAGAAGTATAAAAGTTCCTTTGTTTTGTTGTCACTGAGAATCAGAATGGATTTAATATATATTGACTTACAATCATGGAGATTGGTTCTTGAAGTGATCGGCGGTCCTTGTTCAATTTCAGCTAGACCACACTTTCGTTGAAACTGTTCATATTTCTGCAATAGAAAGATCAGAGGTTTTCGCATGACAAATTAAAACTATTCAGTGTGTTTAATTTCAAACAACAAGGACAAGGCTAAATATATCGTGGAAGAGTGTGTCTAATCCTGTTGATTGTTATCAATTAATACATTCTATTTGAAAACGATGTCAAGTGTTAGGCACATGTACCACAATATGCAATTCTACATACATGTACCTCTATCACCAATTTTTTTGAAGAAAATATATTACATCTTAACAATTCAATAAATAGTCAATATATGCATAACGCGGAAGTCCACAACCTGACATTGCCACGCCCCTTCACCCTATTCTAACAGAGATATTGTAAACAGCTTACACAATGAATAGGAACGAGACACAACCTCGGTAACGTTGTTTTGCTGTTGTCAATCCTACAGCGTATCGACCGAGTTTAGAGTGCACATTTGTTTTATCATATAAACAGGAATTTTTACAAAGAGTTGAAAAACGGTTTAATTTCTGATTGTACATTTTGTTGTAAAAACTCGATAACTAATATTAACATTGATAGGTACATACTGAGTTGGTAGCGGCACGGATTGACACGTGTGAGACGTAATCTTGATTGAAGACAATTCATCCAATTTCGAGGTTTTCGTTTTAGTATTTATATACAAATTGAATTAAGCAGTATGAAGGTGCACCAGGAAACATAAACATAGTAAGATTTAGAAATAAACGAACAGACTATAATAGCCGTGAAAAACCTTTAGATATTTTTTGTGTGTTTTATTTGCTTCACCAGCAAATAACAACACATTTCGAAATCTGTTATAGTTCATATATACTTCAAAACTCGTTCTCAGTAAACCTACTGATGCATCTTAACATTTTTTGAGGTGAACTAGAAATACAAAATGAATTTTATCAGAAATTTCATATGGATGTGGTAAATTAATGATGAAATTATCTTAAAAGTCGAGCTCGTGACTTTTAGAATTAGCACCTGTTTACCTTGAATTCCTGTGACCACCCTATATATATGTGTCTTTTTATTGTTAACGCGCGATGATAGTCCTTGTGCGTTTAAGATTAAAATAAAACACACACAGAGGTTTAAAACCATTTGAAATCAATACTTCGTATCTGAAGACGATCGTAGACCAACATTGAGACAGTGACTATCATTTACATCAATAAGTGCCCCTCGGAGACTGTTAGAGCCTAATGTAGCCGGGTAACATGTACAGGTGAAGGTTTAAGGAGCCTGTGGTTATACAGCTATATCTAAGGCTAATGGTTGACGTTTTCAATAGAACTTAATCATGATTAATTAGTCAGGACATTGGATTTTATATTGAGAAAGTAATTTCTTTAAACATGTATCAATTATAAACGGATCGATAAGATTCCGATTTGTTCTTTAATCCGAATCTTTACAAAATATGCATTGGCTGTTTGGAATCACTAATGATGATACGCCAGATTTCAATCTAATCTTTAATAGCAAGACCACCCTTTTCATTGGCATCGATAATGGCAGTCTCCCAAATACGCTTTCCTTTATTTATGAGTGTACAAATTTAGTTTGAAGTGCACCTGCCACGAGATGTAGTCCACTGACCACGTGATTAACGATTGCCTGTAAAACGTTTTCCTGGTCGGAGACATATTTCCTGTTTTTCCTCGATTTCATGTCTATAATAAATCATAGTGGACTTGGATGACAACCGAGTGATAACCTGTACAGTAAAAGAATCTATACGGCGAAAAGTCACCTTGAGTTAAAAGTAGCTGCGTTTGTATAGACTTTCTTCTTGGAACTCATTTATGCTTCTTTCTTAAGTTTTGCGTCAAATTCTAACGACGACCAAAGATGATGGTGCCACTCAGCAGCTAAGGTTATATTTATTTGACGAAGGTGTCCACAGAAAATGAAGCCACAATACAGCAGATGTGACCGTAAAAAGCTAAGGTCATATGTCAATCGTCTCCTCAGCCGATAGGGATTTAATGTGGCGGCTGCAGTATCATAAACTAAGCAGGTTGCCTTGGTTTTTCGCCCGATGACATGTCTCTGACAACTTGCTTACCCGGTACCTGGGGAGACATTACGGAAACAAGCGGTGAATATTGACAACCAACTGTTACATTAGATCAACAGATCTCTTAGGTTTTCGAAACAAGATATAACAGACGAGAACTCCAGAGTAGCAGGCACACGCATAGGTTTAAGTAGTCCCAGGAGTCATTTAGGTATACTTTTTAATGCACGTGTTTGATCCCCTAAAAAGAACAAAATTATGATTGATAACACGGATCATTGATGTTTATGTTGAGAACAAGATTTTCTTAACCTTTGGTTTTTGTCGGAAAACAAATCATACTCTAATCGATGGGGGTTCCAATAAGATTCTGGATCTCATTGTACACAATATTTGCATTAACCTATGGATGTTACCAATGATATTCTGCCAGCTTTTGTAAAGAATAGGTTTAAAAATGACAACGTATTCAACTTACATTGATTAGGAAAGTCTCCCAAATACGTACGCCTCAATCTATGAGTGCGTTTAATGTTTTCTCCCCTGTCACAAGATTGGTGTGTATGGATCAAACGAGAAATTATTGATGAGTTAAAATAGTTTTCGGACTGGATATGCAATTATTATTATTTATTTTTTTTCTGTCTCGGAGTTATGCAACCAAAAACTCTCTAAGGAATCGGTTGATAAAGGAATGGCAGATCTGTGTGGAAAAAAAGACAAGTATGGCGAATAATCTCCTAGACTTTCCAGAGGTACTGTGTTATGGACGTTACGCATGATGTTGGTGACACCTTGTGTAACGTAAAATGACGTCGTTTTGATCATTTTGACGTCGCTTTTAGACGTTTTTATCAAGTTTTGCATTATTTTGTATGACCCATTGTACCAGCTACTGTGCAGGCAAAGGGAAATGATCAACGTGATTGTTGTGAAATAAATAAAGTTTAAAAAAAATTGTGTGGGACGGGGTTATATTCTCAAACTCGTTTCCATTGTTTCAGAACGAGTCGGTTTTCCACATTTAGGTTTTTGATAAACGTCAGATATTTGTTATTTTTACTATATTTCTACAATTCTATTTATAAGTATGTCCACGTAGTGTTTCAAAAATTGTAATGATGTATTAAATTTAATTCCAAATAATTATTTGGCACTCTAAATGTTGCGCAACGTTATTCCCGTTTACTCGCCTAAGTGGGACATTTTACGGAAATTGGAAAGTGTAATGCGATTGTTTCATTATTGATCCTTTCACAAAAGTGAAAAGTGTTTCATTCTATTCAGTAAAAACACATTCTTTTAGGACAAAATTGTTTCATTTCATGTTTCACAATTCAATATTATACGTCATCAAAGTTTCAATTTATACAAAATGTACGTCTAAAACAACTATTTGACAAATTTCGGAAATTTTAATTTTGCCTATTTTACAAGAAAACGTTCTTTCTGGTAGATAATTGTCTTTGTATGATAATTTCGACACACACACATTACAAATATAACTCAAATAACTGACATTATCCTCCTGTCAATACAATAGATGCATGCCAACCTCCTTGCTGGGTAAGCGTTACTATATGCTAATAACCGTTTGGAGAAGATTTTAGTAAATTTTTCGATCTCTGATCCCAATGAAACTTTTGACGTCATTTGTGACCTCATTTCTGCTTCCGTAAATCTACTTTTAGCGCGAATTCATCTAATTTCTTTGAAACGTCTTACCCCGTAGATGTTACGCTTTACACGAGTTATCGTGACGTTTTCGAGGTTGTTAATGTGAAACAGAATTCTTAATGTTGTGTTATACTTTTCATAAATAGCATAAAACGAATGAGCGTGAAAAAACGTTTTCTGTGATATATAATCTGACATGAAATTCTGAAAACTGAATATTACAGCGATACTTTTAGTGGGCGCCATGCGTGTTTTGAAGCTTGTGAAATTGATTATACATGTAACAGGATGCTCATATTTTGGAATTTTTTACGATGTGGTGAAACTAATACATTCCCTTTAAGAAAAACAAGAATACAGAAATGGCAACAAACAAGTTTGAATTTCGAACCCAAAATTGAAAAAGCTAATGAAATTTGAAGAAAGGAAACATTTACATGTATAAAGGGAGATCCATTATGTGTTCTGGGAAAGGTGGGCGTCCTCTGCTAAAAGGACGATATCCATCATGTAAATCTACGTCAAATCCATAAAATGTCATGTCCTCAAAGTAAGAACAAGGATAGTGACAACGAAACAACATGACACAGCAACGAACATTAAAAAACGTTAAAACGTTAAAAACTTTCTTAGTGAGACGATAGTGCCGACCACCAAACGTTTCCTTATTCATCGTCAACCCGAAACTTTGAAAACAAGACGCGCTGCAGCAATATGCAAATGTAGCTTAATTTAATATTATCGGCATTATGGGATTCGTTGCTTGAATGTTCCGAGTGGTTTTCTGATTGAGAAGACGGAAGCATAGTATACATTGTGCATCCATGAGGTATGTTGCATCTGCCAGGATATTACATGTTCTGCTGGGTCACATAAACGAAAAAGGTCACTTGAATATATATATATCTAATATGATTCAGATGATTAAATTTCCTCTGTGGTATTTAGTTTTAATCCGACTTCAGAATACTCCCAATATCGGTTTCAACAAGGTACTGAATGCCAGTTTCTAAAAAGGCCGAAAGAAGCTGGACACATTTGATTATTTTTATATTAACAAGCGGGCAATGTGTCTTATTTCACGGAATCGGGGGTAATTGTGTGGGATAACACTAAAAACAAAAACAACGGTTTTACGTAGAGATTGCGTCAGATCCTGTTCTTTGGTGGTAACATCCAAACAAGAGTGCGTTACGTAGGAGGCAATTATTATAGCTGTGTTCCTACATAGGTCGCACACCGCACATCGTGTAACGTTGTGCGGTGTGCGACCTATGTAGGCATGGTATACGCACCATGAGCGAACG